CATTAAATTAAAAACGGCCCCGTGCATTACAGCACCGCGCGCAGTAATCCAGAGGGCGTGTAATGCTTTGCAGGTGTCGGTACACAAACACGGGCACCGCAAGCAGGTAAAACCAGGCGCAGGGCAACCTCGTGACTCAGACGGGAACATCTGGTGCGCTGCCTTCTTCAATCGCTACTCTGGTGTGCAGGGCCCCCCCCCCAGGAGTCAAGGAATCAGGGGGATCCGCCGCGGAGAGAGGGCTGTCTACCTTGCACGTTTGCACGTCAGGTCTCCGCGCTAAGATGAAGAGCAGGGGGCAGGGGGCAGGCGGTGGGGTGGGGGCGCTTTGCAGAGCCCCCCCTGACCAGCACCCTGCCCGAACACGCCGGCTGGGCTGCGCACTTCCGCGCGAGGGGACCCGGCGGGGCGGCGGCGGCGGCAGATAAAGACAAGGACACGCGGGGCATCGGGAGCGCTCCCCCACGCAGGCTCAGCCGAACAGGAGGGGGGGAGCACCGCAAAAAGGTTTCACTGGAAAACACATCCACACCCGCACGTACACACACAAAGAAATACAAACCACGGGGGCGTGCAGGCGCAAAAAGGTTGGCCTCTTGTACTAACAAGCCTGTGAACGTCCTCAAACCCAAGGCTGGCGCGTCCCCCGCGGTGACACGCGTGGCCGTGGACGAGCGCGGTCAGATCTACACGCAGCGCCACGCAAAAAAATCCATCTTCAGACGCACGGAGCCCGGCTTCCCGATGCCTGGGGGGGTGCTTACGGATGAGGGCAAACCAACCCTACCGCAGGGAAGTCAGACGCGGGGCTAACGCGGCGACGCGCCGAGCAGTCGTGCAGATGTGACACGGTCAAACCGCACGTTTCTGAGCTCCGAGATCTCACATCCACGAGGGTTTGCTGTTGACGAGGCCCGTTTGCAGTGACGAGAAAGTACAAGCTACCCCTCCACCCCGACTTACAGGACACGCTCATGTGATAACTTGGGTCTCCAAGACTGCATTTCGATACAACGTCCGACCACGGGGGGGGGGGAGTGAAGGAACATATTCACGTCCCACACTCACGCCGTCCACTCACATTAACTGGAAGGTGGGAGGGCAAGTTTGAAGCGAACATTTTTAACCCGACCCTGCATAGCTCAGTGTCTCTGTAAAAGGGGTACGAAAAAAAAAACCCACTTCCAATATTACATAATCCATTTCAACATCAGGTTAATCCAAGCTGGCGTGCAGACGATTTGCATTTTGCATTACCTGTTTATATTATATTTTTTTAAAAACAACAACCGTCCTGGTCGATCTCGACACCTCCAGCGCCGAGTTGCAACACGCTGGGAGAGCAGCCGCGAACACGGTTTTCGCCCCAAGGTGTTTTTCTAGCGTGCTAACGGCCAGGGACACCGTGTTGCCCGGGCCGAAACCGACGATGACAAGTCGTTACCACCGAGAGTAATGGGTCAGATGAAGACAGCTAGCTCGCCACACCAGTTTCAAAGATGGCTAGTTAGAAACGCGCTCCGCAAATCTCCCTTCCACGCCGCGAGTGTAGTTAGCCGTATATCAGAAACTAAGACCCGCTATTTGACCTGCCATTTTAAGATTAGGACAAAACGAAACACCAGGCACTGTTGTGGTTATTACAGCTAACTTAGCTGATATTTTGCAATCCATAAAATCGCACATTCTCCTGTTTTTCTTTTTAAAAAGCACATACGTACCTCCCACACGACGATGCAGCGAGGATCCGGTTTTAAAGGTAACAAAATATCGGTCTCCTACAGGATTATTTGATTGAGTTTTATTGTTGTTATATAATTCTACTAAAAAAAAAAATTCCTTCTACGGCAAAACCCACCTTAGCCTATACTGTCCACCAAGCGGACTCTGCAAAATGGCTGCCTTTCCTGCATTTACCACCGCCCCTGAAGGAGGGGGGGAGCGGAGGTGGAGCCAAGTCCAAGATTTAACGAGATACGCGCTGCTCTTCGTGCGGTAGTAGCTGTCCATGCGCATTATTTCGTGCCCTTCGGTAATTTAAGGGCAACAGCGTGTCCCTGGCTAGGTTTTCCCAAGATGTTTTTTCGTATGCCGATAATAACCAAACTACCTGACCCCCCCCTTCCCATGTGAGGATTTGGTACGAGCCATACATACCGGAGGGGAGGGGGGCGCGGGGGATTGATGGGGGGGAGTGGTGTTGGACTGTAACTTTTTACAAACTTTAGTTTCTGCCTCTTTCCTTCTGGTTGTTGTTGTTTGTTTTTTTTATTCTTTTGATTTCTTGAAAGGTGAAACGTGGGTCGGGGGCGGTCTCGCCACGCTTTCGCCCGGTGTTGTTGTTTGTTTTATTGCGCGAGACGGTGCGGTCCACGGCGCGCGGCGCTGTTCCTGGAGCTGCGGGTTCTAGTTCTGAAGTGGCCGCACGTGACAGCTGATAAGCGCAGGACGTGCTGCTGGGCGTGTGTGTGTATGTGTATATATATATGTGCACAGGGGCCCAGACTTGCAGCTATTGATCCACGGTCACTATAATCCCAATCCTAGTCTTTTAACACGGGATCGTGTTAGTTCAGTGGATCCAAACAGGTCTCCCTCGATGGCTCCTCCTTTTGCAAGTCGGTCCCAATGCAAGCAAACCCAAACACAGGTTTGCCAGGAACGCTAGTAACTAATGCCGGTGTTCATTTTCAAATACTGTAGGGAAAACTGAACTGCTGGGCACCTCGATCAGTGTAGACTCCGCGTTAGGACGAAGATGTTTGCTTTTTTTCCCTCCCCGTTGTGTCTGTGCACATAGCCTTTGGGGGATCTTTGTACTTATATGGTCAAAACTCGGAAGGCGCGTGTTGATAACACAGGGACCTGTATCTCGGCTTCTTTGGAATCGAGCGTTATTTAATCGCGTTAAGGTTATACAAGCACAATAACATTTATCCCTACATTTCTGTCCCCCTGGAATGAACAAATCAGAAAACACGAATCTAGTGTTGACTGCAACAGTGTTTTGAATATTTGATTAAATTATGTTCGATTTTTCTTTCCCTAAGATGGGGGTGTAGTGGTTTAGGCGTCGGGATGTATATCTATAATTTACAAAAGCTTCCTATTACAAAAAAAAAGTCAATTTAATTTTGGTATTCGGCGTTTTAAAACCTTTCAGACTCGTTAACATGTCGGCCTTATCTGAAGACAAGATTTACTGCCTCTCAGAGGTCGAGCGGCCGTCCCTTAGAAACGCAGGACCGCGACAGTAGGGGATTAATATCGATAATCTTCAATTCGAAAACAGCAGGTATGGGTTCTTCTCCTTTACGGCGAAGCAAAGTTGTGCCCAAGTCCCAGGAGTGTGTGTCACATAGCATGTATCGCCTTAAACGCTTCATCACTTACAAGCTACGCATGTGAAAATCAAATTAAGTGAAAGCAACAGACTTTCGGGTCTGGGGGCTTTAACAAAGCGTGGGTCTTCCTGGCGAACAGAACTTTTCTTGAAACTGGGTCGCCCAGCCGGCGGGTTGAGCGTGAATCGGGTCTTCCGGGCCGGCAGGGGGCGCACGAACAGTACCGAACGGGTCCGACCGCAGGAGTGCGCGTCTCTCTCCCTGGCCGGGCTGATTGAAATGGAGGGGAGAGGCAGGGGTCGTGCGTTTTGAAAGTTATTCTCTGGGCGCCCAGATAGAGAGGGGAGGGACATCGCAGAAACCGGCGGCGATGGCAGGGGTGTTAGCGAGAGTACTCTTCTACCCCACCCTGGCCTACAACGTGTGCATGGAGAAGATCTCGCCCAGGCGCTGGTTCGACAGGGTGGATCACACGGTCGTGCTCGGAGCGCTGCCGTTCAGGTGGATGACGGATGAGGTGACGTGTTGAACTCCGTGCACACGGAAGTTTTGGATTTGCCGAGTTTGTGGGGATGGGGGAATAAACTCAATCGGATTTTCGACACCGCGGTGAAATATCGTAAAACAGTTCGCTGCATTCGAGTGTGTGTGTGTAAAACCCAGCGCGACATGTTCTTGCACGTGTTTTTTAATACAGAGCCATGAGAATGCGCTGCATTGAAAGGCGCTATATATAAATAAAATGGATTCTTATAAGGGCGGGTACCTGTGACGATATCTCGAAGCGCTAAGTAGTGAAGCTATAAAATAACTAGTACGACGTCAGAAATAAAATGTTAAGAAAGAGGAAGTTTTTAGTAACACCTGGGAAAACCTGAAAGAATGTGTTTTTGATGGCAGAGGCGGACGACGAGGGTCTTATGCCGCTCAGACATTGCACGGTATAGGCACATTTCTGTAGAATGCCCTGTTACACGGTGGCACTCTTCTGACTAAAGAGACTCAGTCCCTTCAGCTTGGCTCCAGAATGTATCTAGTTGCCCTTCTCTGCACTGATTCCATAATGGCAATATCGTTTCTATAAAATGCTGTCCAAATTGTATCATTTGTGAGTCTGAAATGATAAAGCGATTAAATGTTTTCACCTGGGTATCTGAGCCAATCTCAAATCCATTACAATTGTGGCTGACACACTTGTCTGCTGTGTAACTGTACTTTTATGTTCTGTAACTCTTCACTGTGTTTGGTATAACTGCTCTGCTCTTGCATTGACAAATCCTTAGCCTTTTCTGCATGACACAAAATGCTTTTTGCTGTATTTTAATTTTTACAATTCTCAGTCACATTGAATGAAGGCCTCAGATAAATTAACATCAATGAGGACCGTTACAGAGTGTGGCACAGTGGTTACTGTTGCTGCTTCGCAGGGTTGGGGCCCTGGGTTCAATTCCTGGTGTGCTATCTGTGTGGAGTTTGCATGTTCTCCCCAGGAGTTTCCTCCGAGCGGTCTGATTTCCCCCAGCAGTCCAAAGACAGACTGGTAGGCCAATTGCCCTTAGTGCACTGGTGTCTGTTTTTCAGTCTATCTACCCAGAGTTTATCCTGCCCCTTGCACCCTTGGCCTGCCAGGATAGACTCTGGTTGCCCCATGACCCAGAATTGGACGAATCACTTTGAAAATGGATGGACGGATAATTGAGCATTTGACCTTATTTAAACATTTAAAAAATGTAAAAATAGCTGCTTTTATTTTTTCAGTTGAGGAAATACAGGTCATACCACTTTAGTTTATTTGTCTGGTGGATGGACGGTAGTTACAAGCCGAATTATGCAGAAGAACGGTACGCGTGCAGATATAGTTACGCTACTTCGGTTTCTGTGTCATCGAATGGCCTGTGGACTCGTCGCCCCCCACGCTGCTCACCTGCTGTGCGCTCTGTGTTGCAGCTGGTCCGGGAACAGAACGTGAGAGGGGTGATCACCATGAACGAGGAGTATGAAACCAAATACTTCTGCAACTCGGCTGAGGTGAGGAGATCACAGCCGGCCTGTCTGCTGCTAACAGAAGGAGCTCTGACGCTCGAAACCGGTATCCTTGGAGACTCGTAGTTTCTTTATTTTTAACAGCGTCTTTCTCACACAGAAAGACCAGCAGGGTCCTTCTCACTCATCTGCTCTGAGATTGTGCCCTGCTCCGTCTGCAGGAAGGCGCAGGCCCACGCCCTGCTCGCTCAGGTCCTCCAGTGTCAGGTGTGGGGGTGTGCAGGTGTCGCCCGAAATGGGGAATGGCGCTGGGCCTTAAAAATACCTGCAGGGACTGTAATGTACTGGACACAGGCTGCGCTGCTTGTATAACCTGGACAGGGCCTGGCTTTTAGGGAGGACAAATGAACACAGATCAAGATCAAAATTACTGTTGTATTAATTTGAAAACAGGGTGCAGTAGGGTTCAGGGAAATCGCAGAGCGTCGTGGAGCTACTGCAAGGCTTGATACTGACTGTGCAGAGAAGCCATGATAATGCATGGCAAAGCTATGAATATGTGCTACATACACCAGCAGTTTTGTTTAAGAAACTCAGCTACGTGAAGGTAGACAGAATTCCCCTCTACATGCAGAGGGTTCTATAGAATGTCTTTGTGTCCCCAGGTGTAGTAGTAGTGGCACAAGACTTGTGAAATCTTTCAGCCCTTCTGCCTTCTCACTCCGAAACAACGAAACCCTCTTTATCGCCGTGGTACAGTGTAACCAGCAAAGACTGCCTGTTCCTGTTTTATTGTTGTGTTGTTGTGGTGGGCACAGTGCCGCGGTCTTTAGCATCGCTGCCTCAGAGCACTGGGGTTCCCTCTGCGTGGAGCTTGTGCGTCCTCCCCATGTTCCAGAGACATACTGGCTTCTGGGGAAACTGGCCCAGGTGTGCGTGCGTCTGCCCTGCGGGGGACTGACGTCTCGGCCAGGGTGTATCCCGCCTTGTGCCTGTTGCTCGCTGGGACAGACTCCGGCTTCCCTGCGACCCAGTGCTGGATAAAGCAGCCAGAATGGGTGGATGTAGCGTCGGGCTCCTGCCAGGGGACAGTACAGCTTGAATTGAACTGAACGCATTAACCGCGGTAGCTGGGTGACAGTGCTGCTGGATGATGCTCACGCCGACGCTGGGGGGCGCCCCGCCTGTCCGTTCCTCCGCAGGACTGGAGGGAGGCGGGAGTGGAGCAGCTGAGGCTCAGCACGGTGGACCTGACCGGGGTGCCCAGCCTGGAGGACCTGCGCAGGGGGGTGGAGTTCGCGCTGCGGCACCGCCAGCGGGGGGCCAGCGTCTACGTGCACTGCAAGGCCGGGAGGTCGCGCAGCGCGACCGTGGTGGCCGCGTATCTGATCCGGGTAGGTCGAGGGAGGCGCGCGAGGCGAGTGAGCCATCGTTGGAAAAGGACCTAGACGTCGATTCCCACCTTAAAGAGATGGAGAGAGAGATAAAGTCATATGATCGCTATTCCTGTGGATTGAGCTGGAATCCCTCGGGATGAAACACTGAACCACGGGTCCTGGCCGCTGGGTTATTACAGGGCATGTGTCACTGGTGTTAGTAGTGGGATTTCTAACCCCAGGGCAGTCGTTCAATTCCACTTTGATCTTGCTCAGTCCTACAGGATGTTTCTCACTACTCCACCTGACCTACAGCGAAATGGGACAGCAGGTCCAGCTGCACATCAAGGGTGGATGACCTGGGTCCCCTTCAGCATTTAAAGTGCATTGGGATTAAAATGCTAATTACATGCAATATCCTGATATTGAATTAACCACCTTATTGTATATGAGGGATATTCCATCTTCAAGCACAGTAGAGCAGTATCTTATGTACGTACCATTATCCATCTATGAACAAAGCATAAAATATTAACTAAAAGATATATTACATGTTGAAGTGTTGCTTTTTTGGGGTAGGTTTCCTCTGAGGTGTAACTAAAGTCTTTATGTTGAATGCAAATAACTTCTGTCTATAATTGATGACTCGCCACACATTTTTCACATGAGTGGGGAAAAAAAATATCTTCAAACACTGAAGCTGATTCCTCTTTATCTGTAAGCCGTCAACTGCTCTAGCAGAAGGATCCTGGCCACGCAGAGTGGAGTCTGACGTGTCCTGGCTGGTGCCGATCGGTGCATGTTAGTGTTCTCTCCAGCTTCAGGAGCAGTCCTGGGAGATGTCTGAGGGGGCTCTGCTGTCTTCTCTTTGTGTCTGAGGGGGCTCTGCTGTCTTCTCTTTGTGTCTGAGGGGGCTCCGCTGTCTTCTCTTTGTGTCTGAGGGGGCTCCGCTGTCTTCTCTTTGTGTCTGAGGGGGCTCCGCTGTCTTCTCTTTGTGTCTGACTGGGCTCCGCTGTCTTCTCTTTCTGTCTGACTGGGCTCCGCTGTCTTCTCTTGTGTCTGACTGGGCTCCGCTGTCTCTCTTTGTGTCTGACGGGGCTCCGCTGTCTTTTCTTTGTGTCTGACGGGGCTCTGCTGTCTTTTCTTTGTGTCTGACGGGGCTCTGCTGTCTTTTCTTTGTGTCTGACGGGGCTCTGC